GAACTACAGGCGCGTGCTACCACGCCCGGCTCATTTTTGATTTATTGTAGAGATGAGGTCGCGTCAAGTTGCCCAGGCAGGTCCAGAACCCGTGGGCTCAGGCAATCCACTCACATCAGCCTCCCAAAGGCATGGGATGACAGGCTGAGCCACCGAGCCCGGCTCAATGTTTCATATATTAAGAATTCAGGCCAGTTGTGTTAGCTTATGCCTGTAATCGCAGCACTTTGGGAGGCCAAGGTAGGAGGATTGCTTGAGCCTAGGAGTTCAAGATCAACCTGCACAACACAGTGAGACTTTGTCCCTACAAAAAATTAAAAAAATAACTGGGTGCAGTGGTATTTGCCTATAGTCCCAGCTACTCAGGAGGCTGAGGCAGGAGGCTGCGGTGACCTGAGATCATGCTTCTGCAGTCTGGACAACAGAATAAGACCCCCTCAAAAAAAAAAAAAAAAAAAGAATTCCATTGTATGGCTATACCACAAATTTTAAAAATCCATTAACTTGTTGATGGGAACCCACAAAGCTACTATGAATATTCTTGCACAAGTCTTTGCTTCCATTTGTCCTGGGTAACTGCCTAGGAGTGGAATGGCTGGACCATATGATGAGTGGATGTTTCCTAATGATTTTGTGACTTTGTAGGACACGGCCAAATTGTTTTCCAAAGTAGTTGGACCATTTTACATGCCCACCGGCAGTCTTTTTAATTTTAGATGACCTAGCAGAGGTATCTCACTGTGGTTGTAATTTGTATTTTGTTAATGATGCATTCTTTTTTCATCTTTTTACGTGCATATTGCCATCTGTATATCTTCTTTGGTGAATTGTCTGTGCAGATCTTTTGCTCATTTTAAAATTGGGTTGTTTGTTTTCTTATTATTGAGTTCTGAGAATTATTTTTAAAAATTATTTTTTGTGGTAAGAACACTTACTATGAGATCGACCCTCTTAACAATTTTTTTCTTTCTCTTTAATTTTAAAGATGTGGGGTACAAGCCAGGATAAGGTACATCAGTGGTCTACAAACAGGTGAAGTTTGGGCCTCCCACTGGTCCTCACTTCAACGCATTTCTAAATGTACATTGTGGGCGGCTATAAGTATAATGCTGTACAGCAGGTTGCAAGAGCTTATTCATCTTTCTTGACTGAAATTTTATACTGTTGCTTAGAGCTCCTCATCCTCACCTCCTCTCAGCCTCTGACAACCTCCATTCAACTCTTTGATTCTGTAAATCTGACTGTTTTCTTCATGCAGGTAGAATCAGTATTTGTCTTTATGTGACTGGCTTATTTCATTTAGTGTCCTCAAGGCTCACCTATGTTGTTGCATATTGCAGAATTTCCTTTATTTTTCAGGCTGAATAGTATTCTACTGTTTGAATACACCACATTTTAAAATCCATTCATCTATGGTTGAACTTTTAGGTTATTTCCACATCTTGGCTATTATGAATAGTGCTGCCATGGACATAGGAGTGTTAACATCTCTTTGATATCCTGACTTCAATACTTTTGGGAAAATATCCAGAATGGGATTGCTAATTTTTTGAGGAAACCTCCATACTGTTTTCCCTAGCACATGCACCATTTTGTGTTTCTTCCAGTATTGTTGCAAGGGTTCCAATTTTTCCACATCTTCCCCGACACTTGTCTTTTTTTTTTTTGATAATAGACTTCCTGACAGGTGTGAGGTAATATCTCATTGTGGTTTGTATTTGTATTTTCTTGATGATTAGTGATGTTGAGCATTTTTTCATATACCTGTTGGCTATTTGTAAGACTTCTTTGGAGAAATGTCTATTCACATCTTTAATGCCTTCTGAAATCAGGTTATTATTGTTATTGAGTTGTAGAAGTTTCTTTTATATTTTGGATATTACCTCCTTTTCAGACATGTGGTTGGCAAATATTTTTTCCCATTCCACAGGCTGCCTTTACATTCTGTCAATTGTTTCCTTTGTGAGTTTTGAGAGTTCTTTATATACTCTGGATACAAATCCTTATCAGATATGTGATTCCCAAATATTTCCTCCAAGTCTGTGATTTATCTTTTTTATTTTCTTAACATTGTCTTTAGGAAAGTAGAAATTCTTAATTTTGACAAAGTCCAAAATATGCTATCCATATTTTTTTCATTTATGCATTGTGGTTTTGGTGTTTTATCTAAGAAATCATTGTCTAGCCTGAGGTAACAAAGTTTTCTTCTTTGTACTTTTTAGAAGCTTTATAGTTTCAGATAGTTTTATAATTTTAGGTTTTATACTTAGACCTATAATCCATTTTGCATTAATTTTTGTAAATGGTGTAAGGTATTGATTAAAGTTATTTTATCTTTGTTTTTGGTACAGAAATATCCAGATGTTCTAGCACTGTTTGTTGAAAGATTATCTTTTGTTCAGTGAATTATCTTTGACTTTTGTCAATTGACCATATATGTATGAATTAATATATTTCTGGTTCTTTTATTCTGTTCCATTGATTATTTGTATGCCAACATCATGCTGTCTTCATAGCAAACTTTAGTCAAGTAGTATAATTCCTTCAACTTTGTTCTTCTTCAGAGTTGTTTTGAACATATCTGAGTTTCTATATAAATTTTAGAGTAAGTCTATATATTTATACAAAAAGAAAAAAAAAGACCTGCTAGGTTTTGATTGGAATTGTGCTGAAGTTTTAGATTAGTTTAGGGAGAACTGATATCCTAACAATGTTAAATATCCTGATCCACAAACATGGTATATCTCTCCATTTATTTAGGTTTTCTTTGATTTCTCTCAGTAATGTTTTATACTTTTTAGTGTATTGGTCTTGTACATTTTTTAATCATATTTTTGATGCTATTGTTAAATGATATGGCTTTTCAAATTTCAATTTTGAGTGTTTGTTGCTATATATAAATATAATTGATTTTTGCATACTGCTTCTGTATGCTGCATTCTTGTTAAATTCATTTATTCAGTTTTAGCAGATATTTTTGTAGATTTAATTGTATCTTTAAGATACTTTTGTTTGTGAATAAAGACAGTTTTATGTCTTTCTGTGAAATCTGGGTGCCTTTTGCTTATTTTTCTTGCCTTGCTGCACTGTTGTAATCCTGAGTAGAATTAATTAGTGCAGACATTCTTGACTTATTCCTGATCTTAGGGGGAAGACATTCAGTCATTTACCATTCAGTTTGATGTTAACTTTAGGTTTTAAATAGATGCCCTTTATTAGGTTGAGAAAGTTCCCTACTATCCATCGCTTGCTGAGAGTGTTCATCAGGAGTGAACGTCAGACAAGTTTTCTGTATCTATTGAGATGTTCTTCTTTTTTAGTCTGTTAATATGTGAATTACCCTGAGATTTCAATGTTAAACTAGTTTTATATTCCTGGTGTAAGCCCCTACTTGCATATGATACATTATCATTTTTACATATAATGAAGTTTATATGTAAAAATTTTGTTACATCTATGTTCATGAAGGATATTTGTCTGCTCTTTTCTTTTCCTGTAACGGCTCTGTATGGCTTTGGTATAAGAGTAATACTAGCTTCTAGAATGAGTTGGCAGGTAATTTATTCTCTTCCATTTTCTGGAAGAAGTTGTATAGATTTGGTATTATACCATCCTTAAATATTTGGCAGAATTCTCCAGTGGAGGTATCTGGGCCTGCAAGTTTCTTTGAGGAGAGGTTTTAACCACAAACTCAATTTCTTTAGTAGATATAGAGCTATAGCCTCTTAAAGAGATTTCATAGCTTGTGGCTTTCAAGAAATTGGCACATCTAATTCAAGTTGTCAAATTTCCTGGCATAAAGTTTTTCATGCTGTTAACTTATCGTTTTAATATCTGTAGAATATATAGTAATGTCACCTTTCTCATTCCTGATATTGGTAATTTGTGTCTTTTACCTTTTTTCTGGTCAGTTAGAGATTTATCCATTTATCCATTTTATTTATCTTCTCAAAGAACCAGTTTATCTCTATTGTCTGTTTTCAATTTCATTGATTTTCAGTCATTATTATTTCTTTTCTCTGCTTAGTTTGGTTTCATCTGCTCTTCTTTTTCTATTTTCTTAAAGGGATAGCTAGGACATTAACTTAAGACCTTTCTTTTCTTATGTAGGTGTATAGTGCTATAACTTTCCCACAAATTTTTTGTTTTCATTTCCATTAATTTAGCTATACTTTCTAATTTCTCCTTTTTGGGGGCCTATATGTACCTATTATAGATAATTAGAAAAGACTATAAAATATTTTTATTAAAAATACAGGAATTGATAAAAGACAAAATATTGATATTTTCCAGAAAATAAATACTGACAAGTAATTTTAAAGGCGCGTTATCATTTAACACCTGAAAAAATGTTCTCAATTAATTCTTTGGTTTTCTTATAGAGTAATTGCTGAAATAAAGGAACTTAGAACCCAAGTCTTCTGTCAATTGTTACTTACAAATATATAAAGTGGATCATAATCTAGAGACGTGGCTAAGGCCTCAGGTGGTTTCATGCTCAAGACTGAAGTCTTGCCAGAGAGCTGAGGTGTGGAGTCCCGTTTCGGAAGGGCTACGATGGTGGTGACTTCATCCTGTATAAGGACCAAGGACAGCTTGTTAGTCTCAGTGCCAGGACAAGAGGAGAAAGGTGAGAACAGTTCTCAAAGACAGGGGATGTGTTACCTCAGCTCCTTGCCTCAGGGCTCGAGCAAGCTTCTGAGGTCTGTAACTAGTTGAAGCCTTGTGGACACAGAAGGGCTGATATCCCTTAATTTTATACAGCTGAGGAACCTAAAGGCCAAAGAAGATGAATCTCCTTAAAACTTGTTCCCATTTGGGGGGATCAACTTAACGACAGCATTTCTGAGCTGCCTGATGGTGGCAGATGTTAATTTAGACCGGCACTGGATGGACATTAGTGCAAGTCCGGAGCTCTGTTCTGGGTTTTGGCAGACATGAGTGTTCATAATTACTTGTTTATAATCACATCTGGCTTAATCATGGAAGCACATCAAAATATTTTTATTTTCAAAGACCGAAATGGTCATACACCTCAAGAAAGGCTCACGAATTTTTGTTCACTTCATCTTGTGTTTTTTTCTTGAAGTTTCTACTCTGTGTAGCTCAGATAGCTTCATGTATATTTAATATGTGGCATATCCACAGAATAAAGATCCCAGTTTCCACAAGCCACATTCGGGGGAAAAAAAAACACCTCCTGGTGTACTTGCTGCATACCATAAAATAACCGCAGAGTATGCTACCCAGTATAATCCATGGTAGAACAAAACTAATAAAATAATGCAATTCAAATTCGAGAATATTTCCTCACTTCATAAGAAACCCCATTAATCAATACGATATGACAGATCTGACCTGCAAATTGAAGAAAGAATAACTCTGTTTGATTTGAACTTCTGAAGGTTTAATTGGGACCAGTCCAAGGCCATCAGGAGCCTATATTGAGAAAAAAAAATAGATAATCAACACTGAGCGAAGTGACCTTGCTTCTGTTTCCACTGCATTCTTAAACATTAAATGACCAGTTTTACACTCCAAGCAACCATTCCCAGACCACAACTACTACTTGAACTATGAGGCCCAAAGGTAGCCTTGGTCACCCCTTCTCTATGTCTCTTAGTGCATGTGATTCTTTTTTACTATTGTAGAGGCTGCAATGTGTCACCCAGAATCCCCTTCAAGCTTGGAGGACTTAGTCATCTGGCCGCTGGAAGTTCAACTGATAGGAACAACTCTTGGGATCATTCCTTTTCAGAAGCCTTGGCTGAAGAGAGCTGCCTCGGTCAAGGTCATGTGCCTCTTCCAGGCAACTCATCTCCTATGACAGGTTGAAGCTAAGGTAAAACTGCTGGGTCCTCTCGCCCTATGCCAATTTCAGAGCTCCCCATGGTCCATTTGAGGCCTTGTTGGGAGGGACTTTAGTCCTGCTTCTCCCTCTGTCCAGCCCTGCCCTCTTTGCTTCCTTCCACAGGTGCTAATCCTCAAAGCACTAGCTAATCCACTTCTTGCATGCTAATTTGCCTCAGATACCAGAGAACCTGGAATATGATGGGCACTCAATAAATACCATATTCTACTTAAAATAATATACCATCACTAAATCAATATGATGAAGTATTAATATGCCATCAGTTATAAGACATTTCCCAATTTCATGGGTACTAAATGTAAAAGAAAAAAGTGCATCTTAGAATTGATGAAATACAGTATTTTGGAATAAATAAATTCTTTTTTTATAGATAGGAATGCTGAATGCTCCATTTTTCAACAACTCTGAGCAGCAGAGAAGACTTTGTTGCTCTAACTAAAATATCAAACAAAATAGAGAAGCTTTGAACTATTCAGAAATAACGAGGTAGGCGTCATAGCGCAGTGATGATCTCTTTCCACCCTGTCACCCTCTTCATCCCATTAATTACTGTCAGATACTTATTATTGCTTAAAAATCACAGATTCATTATTTCCTAGGATCTAATTATCCTGATCTTTTAAGCCATTTAATACTGAAAGCAGAAAACATATGGAATTTCTAAATTCAGTCCTGTAATTCTTGAGAGGATTAACCTGCAATGCTTAACAAATATTTCAGGATGTGAGTGGTGGTTTATTCTTTGAAATTAAAAAATTATTTTGCAAATGACCTCGACATATTAATTAAGGCACATTTTTTAATTAATAAAGGTGTGAACTCAAGTAGCATTTTATTACTTGCTATGTGAACTTGGGCCTCAATTTTCTTATGTGTAAAATGATAAACCTATCATACAGATTTGTTGAAGATTAAATGAGATGACACAACTGAAACACTTAAGACACTGACCATGTGAATGCCATGTGAATGCCATGTAAATGCCATGTGAGGGTTAACTACCATTTTTATTATAAAGCACCATTGTGTATATAAGGGCTATTACATCTCCTGCCACTGAGAGAGAGAGAGAGAGAGAGAGAGAGAGAGAGAAATGGTTGTGAGTCTGATGGGCTTGACTCTCATATTCTGACATCCTAGTCCCTCCTAGTAAGGCGGCTGCTCTTTAAGACCTGGGGACTGAGCAGAGCCTCCTCACCGGGCAAGGCAAGGCCCTTTTGGCTTCTCTCTCTGCTCTCAGGCCTGGTTCCAGGGTAGCTGGGCAGGCTCAGTGTTTGTGCCAGGTTCCAGGCTGGGAAGGACCCGCCCGGGTTGCCAGGGAGCTCTGTGCATGTGTATCAGGTACAAGGCACATGGCAGGAGGTGATTGCTGGATTCCCATCGGTCATAATTCCCTGGGCACAGGTCTTCCTTGAGGGCTGCTGGGAGGAGGTGAAGGGACTGAGATTAGGTAGGGCCGGCCTTGGTATCTGCCCGACAACCATCAGATCATGCACCCCCCCGCCCCCCCGCCACCACCCATGCGGCCTGACGGTACCTACCAACTCGTTGGATTCCTGAGGAGGGCTGTAATCTGGGAAAGCGAAGGGCAGTACTTTCTCGGGCGGTACAGAGAACTGGCTGGAATACTCATCCAGGCTGAGCCGCCGCAGAGGGTATCTGGACAAAGTATTGTCTATGGGTGAGAAACAAAACAGTACTTTCAGGGGTCTCTTAAGGCACTTTTTGGGAAACCACCATCTATAGTTGTGTATTTGACACATACCAATTTGTTTCTTTTTATTTTTTTGAGTTGGAGTCTTACTCTGTCGCCCAGGCTGGAGTGCAGTGGCGCACTCACGGCCACCCCAGTGTTGACTTGCTGGGCTCTGGTGATCCTTCCGCCTCAGCCTTCCAAGGAGCTGGAACTACAAGTGCATGCTACCACGCCTGGCTAATTTTTTATTTATTGTAGAGACGAGGTCTCGTCAAGTTGCCCGGGCTGGTCTCGAACCTACGAGCTCAGGCAATCCATTCGCCTGGGCCTCCCAAAGTGCTGGGATTACAGGCTGAACCACCGAGCCTGGCCTATAGTTTCATTTTTAGTGTCGCCTTGCTTCCTTACTTCAATCCCTCTTCCAGTTCTTAAACATTTTATTTTGTCTCTGCTTCCAAAAAACTCTAATTCCTAGTTAAAATATCTCTGATGAATTTATCTAAGAAAAAGGTTAAGTTTGGGAAACTGGGTAGCCATAGGCAAAAGAATGAAACCGGATCTCCACCTCTCACCATATATAAAAATAAACTCAAGACGGATTAAAGACTTGAATGTAAGATGTGAAACTCTAAAGATCCCAGGAGAAAACCTTGGAAACACTCTTCTGGACATCGGGCTAGGTAAGGAATTTATGAGGAAGACCCCCAAAATAATTACAACAAAAACAAAAATAGGCAAATAGGACTTAATTAAACTAAAAAGCTTCTTCACAGCAAAAGAGATATTCAACAGAGTGAACAGAAAACCTAAGGAATGGGAAAAAAATATTTTCAAATTATATGCCTCAGACAAAGGGCTAATATCCAGAATCGACAAGGAACTCAACACAACACAACATGAAAAAAACAAATAGCCCTATCAAACAGTGCAAAGGGCATGAACAGACACTTCTTAAAAGAAGACACTTGAGTGGTCAACAAACATGAAAAAAATACTGAACATCACTATTAATCAGAAACAGGCAAATTAAAACCACTATGAGATACCATCTTACACCAGTCAGAATGGCTATTATTAAAAAGTCAAAAAACAACATGTGTAAGGAACAACAATGTTGGCATGGTTACGGAGAAAAGGGAACAGTCACTCTTGGTGAGAATGTAAACTAGTTCAACCTCTGTGGAAAACAGTATGGAGATTTCTCAAGTAACTAAAAACTGATTTACCGCTTGACCCAGCAATCTCACTACTAGAGATCTACCCAAAGGAAAATAATCATTTAAGAAAGATACCTGTACACATATGTTCATTGCAGTGCTATCCACAATTACAAAATCATGGAAGCAACTTAAGTGACCATGAACAATTGAAGAAAATGTGGTACATATACACCAATACTACACAGCCATAAAAAAAATATGAAATCATGTTTTTTGCAGCAACATAGACGAAGACAGAGAACATCATCCTAGGTGAACAACTAACTCAGAAACAGAAAACCAAGCACCACATGTTCTCACTTATATGCAAGAGCTAAGTGGCCACAAAGATGAAAATAATAGACACTGAGAGGAGAGGAAAAGGGAAAAGGGAATTGAATTTAGAAGTTACCTATGGGGTACAAAGTTCACTATCTGGGGAGTGGGTCACCTGAGACACAGTCTCCGCCACTACACAATATGTCCATGTAACAAACATGCATGTGTACCCCCCGATTCTAAAATTAAAAAAGAAAAATATTAAAGAAGTAAATGAAGACATTTTACAGATATCTACATGTAATTCACAGGCCAATTTTATAATTTTTTTAAAAAATGAGTTTCTTTATTAGAAACTTCAATGCCAGAAATAAAAAAGCATATGGGGGGGAGAATAATTAAAATGTTATAAAATGTTTTGAAAAACAAATGCACATCTGGATCTTGGTGGAGCGGTAGAGGGGGGTGTGGTGTTGCTTGGGGACGATGTAGAAGCCTGAGCCAGGCTTAGGGGCTCAGGCCAGGGAGGGAGGAAGGGTCAGAATGGTCAGGGCCTGCTTGTGGACCTGCTTACAAGCTGTGATCGGAAATACATGTATTGGGACAAAATGGAGATATGGCTTTTGGGCTTCCAGAAGCTACTGAGGGTGGGCTTTCAATAACCCCAGCTAAGCTGGGAAGCAGACAATAGGCTGGAGTACAGTGGCATGATCATAGCTCACTGTGAGTTCGACCTCCTCGGCTCAAGTGATCCTTCCACCTCAGCCTCCTGAGCAGCTGGGACTAAAGGAGCATGTCATCATGCTTGGCTAATTTTTTATTTTTATTTTTGTAGAGACAGGGACTTGTTGGTCAGACTGGTCTTAACCTCTTGGCCTCAAGTGATCCTCCTGCCTTGGGCTTCCAAAATGTTGGGATTACAAACATGAGCTACCTTGTCTGGCACGGAATTTCCTTAAGTGGCAGAAACAATACAAGATTTAAAAGCATAAAGTGCAGATGCTAGGTTGAGAAAACACTAGATTCAGTCAGTCAATCAGCAGGTATAAGTGCCGACTACCCCAATCTTTCTGGTGACAAGAGAAGCAGAGGGTATGAAACAGGAGGTCGAGTCACAGCCAAACTCCACAGACAATACTTGGTCTGGGGTTGGTTGACCTCATTTGTTGTCAACCAGGCAGGCAACTCAGGCGAACTTGGCATGGAGATCGGCTTTGTGACTGGTTGAGTAATGGCACCCAAAGATGGCTACATCCTATTCCTCGGGACCTGTGAACACGCTACCTTCCATGGTGAAAGGGACTCTGCAAGGATCTGGAGATGAGGAGATTATCCTGGCTTGTTCAGGTGGGCCCTAGGTAACCATAGAGACCGCATGAGTGGGAGACAGGAGGGTCAGAGTCACAAAGGGCGTGTGACGCCTGAAGCTGAAGGTCAGAGCCAAGGTGGACTCCAGGAACTGGAAAAGGTGAGGAGACAGGTATTTCCCTCCAGAAGGAATGCATCCCTGCCAATTTCTTGACTGTGGACTTCTGACCTCCAGAACTGTGAGATAATACATTTGTGTTATTTTAGGCCACTTAGTTTGTGGTAATTTGTTACAGCAGCAATAGAAAACTAATATGCATGATTTATGCAAATATTTTGTTTGTACACAGCTAACCTCATTATAAAGAGACCTCATGCTCAGAGGAATCGTCCATCTCAGCGTTGCTGTAGTCACAGCCATACTTTACCTTGTACTGACAAGTGTTTTGCTTGAGTGATCTGTTTTACTAGAGTCTCTTTGTCCATTTCGCGAACAGCGGCCAGCATGGTAAGTAATCGTCGTTGAACCATGATCTGGAATTGGAAAGAATGGTGATTCCACATGATTGGCACGTGCTTATTTTGGTCTTCAACCCAATTCACTTTCCTCAACCACAACGAAGAGCTGAGACACTCCTGTGAGTCAGAATTCATAGGAAGAGTGGCACGCTGCCCTAGGCTCGGGCCACGGGGACTTCAAGATCATGTTGACTTGTCTGAAAACAGGAAAGAACAGGTTGTCCTCGGGGCTGGCTCCATCCAATTTAGGAGCCTCGATTTTTCATCTTTCCAGAGTGGAAAGAATGATGAGTTATACATTCTTTCTTCTGGGTATATCTGAACAGCAGTGCTACCACTGTGCTGTTCTCAGCACTGAAGGGCAAACTACATGGGTGAGTCTGTAGCAATAGGGCTATGGCTGATGGGTGACACTAATTACACACCGCTGAGCTTTGCATTCATCGCGCATGCTACTGCAGGTGTGGGCTACCTGAGCCCTGAGCTCTGGGGGAAGGGATCATTTGCTGCATAATCAACACTCCTTTCTATTCTGTAAATGGGTCTTTCGTTTAACAACAATTACAAGTGGCTATTCCGTGCCCAGTTCCGTGTAAGGCACTGGAGATACAGTGAGGCGAAAAACCAACATCCTGCCTGCATGGAGCTGACATTCCAAGTGTGTGTGTGCGTGTGTGTGTGTGTCTGTCGGGACTGGGGAGGGGGCCTGGAGTGGGATGACAGTAAACACCTAAGCCAAAAAACAAGATAAATACCACGAAGAAAATAAAAGACGGTAAGTGTACGACGAGGGCATGACTGAAGGCGCTGGAAATGAGGGATCTGCCCACTCATGCCAAGACAGCAGGCAAGGCCTCCACAGAGGTGAGGTTTGATGTAAGATTTGATGAGGAACAGTGACGTAGAGATCTTGGGGTGAGAGTTCTGAGCAGAGGATCCAGCCAGGACAGAGATTCTGATGCAGGAACTAAGGAGACATGTTTAAGGGACAGGGAGGAATCCACCGTGGCCTGGTGGCCTTGATTAAAAATGTGCATTTTATTCTAATTGTGATGGGATGTCTTTGGAGGGTTTTGCAGGGGAGGGGCAAATGCCACTCGTGTGGGCACTGGCAGTGGTCCAGGCGACAGATGCTGGGGCCTGGACTGTGGCTGTAGCCGGGAGATGCCAAGAGGTCATCAGGCAGGGAGGACACATCAGCACCTAGAACTGACCGCACTTGCTGCGACATGAGGGGAAGAGACCGAGCCATCATCACTCAGAACAAAACACATCACGGCTGACATCCCTCTTCTCGGCCTAGAGGGCTCCCGTAGAAGCGCCAAGGTGGCCCCACCAGGGGGGAACCAGCCTGGCCAGTCTCTCGCTGCTTTTTGCTCATTGTCAAGGGCTGGGCTTTCCTCCAGAGCACAGCTTTGTGCTGCTTCTTTCTACCACTTTCTTCCCCACACCAAGCATCCTGGGGCTGACCCTGCTCGGCACATAGGCAGAGAACACCCAGGCAAAGCCTCACCAGGGACACTGACTTTTCCGGGCCTTGGAGGGCTGGTGAGTAGATCCCCCATGCAACGACCACTGCCTCCTTCTACCTGGATGGTCGCCAGTCCAGGCTGAGAGGACTGCCTGAAAGACAACCTGAAACATGAACTGGTAGAGTCCCTTGCACATCTCCACTCAGTGAATCCTCACAACAATCCTGTGACACAGGTCTTATCACTCTCCTCTGTGTTCAGGTGAGGAAACTAAGACCCAGAGGTTATGTAACTCATCGAAGATCAGAAAGCTCAACGAAGCAGCACCAGGAATGAGCCCAGGCAGTCCGGCCCCGGTTTCACCCACTCTCCCTGCATGAGGCATGGCCCTGCCCGCCAGGAAGTCACACACGAGTGGCAGGGACAAGAGATCTACAGGCATCCTAAGAAGCAAAAGTCACCAAGGAGGTCCCCAGGTGCTAAAGTCCACAAGGACTGTTTCTTGTAGGAAAGGTGGACTTGGGCTGCCCCAAGGTCAGATGTGGGCCACGGAGCTGGAGAGGCGTTTTTGTCACAGGGTGAGGAGCAGAAACAAGCTGGCAGGAGGGCATGAGCACGGTGTGTTTGGCCGAAGACCAGGACCGGGGCAATGCAGAGGACAGTGGGCAGTTGGAGAGGTGTGGCTGCAGCCAGACCAGGGTCACTTTACAGCGCTTGTTGGCATTAGAGGCTCGGCAGTCATTTAAACCTGACTGGAAATGTGCCCGATGGAAGGCCAATTTGAGGGTGAGGAAGCCACAGCAGGGAGATGGCATTTTTGAAGGGCAAGCCATAAGCCCGGATGTTAGTGACAAGATACCACAGGAATTCTCGATTGTTTTCTCGAGGAGTAGCTGATCAATATCCCATTATTTTAGAGGTGGCGTATGACCCAGCAATGCTACTCCTAGGTATATATACCCAAGAGAAATGAGAACATATGTCCATAAACTTGTATACAAATGTTTACAGCAGTACAACTCATAACAGCCAAAAGGTGAAAAAAATGGAAACATCCATCAACTGATGAAAAGACAAAGAAAATGTAGTCTGTCTACACAACGGAATACCTTCAACCATAAAAAGGAATGAAGGGCTGGTACATGCTAAAACACGGACAAATCTTGAAAATATGTCAAATAAACGAAGTCAGTTATAAAAGGCCATGTGTCAAATATTCAGAGTGATGGATATGTAATTATCCTGATTTGATCATTATACAATGCATACGAAGTCTGACAATTAAGTTCGCAAGCTCATTTTAGATAAAGTGCTGCATACCTCATTGCTGAATACCGCTACCATCACCTTCAAGGTACCACCCCCCTTGGGAAGCTAGGCACTGATGCCAGCATCTAGTCTACCCGTCAAAGCAATTGTGGTACTCTTTCTGGAATAGCCATCAGAGCTGTTGTCGTATGACCCTTAATGTTCTGCGTGTCATCAAAATGTCTTCCTTTCAATATTTCCTTTGTCTTCAGGTAAAGAAAAAAGTCACTGGGGGCAAGATCAGGTGAGTTGGAAGGGTGTTCTAATACAGTCATGTGTTTACTGGCTAAAAACGCCCTCACAGTGCTGTGTGAGCTGGTGCATTGTCATGATGCAAGAACTCCTTCAGGGCCATCTTTGCACACACCTTTCTCAGGCCACAATTTTCAGTTCAGGTTTTCCTAACTGTTTCTCTATCAATGTTTATTTGGTCGGCTGTGCTTCTCATAGTCAGTCAATCATCCTGATGCACAATTTGGCAAATTTTTGCAATGTTTTTGTCAGTTTTACTCTTTACTGGCCTTCATCAGTGACACTTTGTCTCCCCTCAGAAAAACATTTACTCCATGTGTACACTGCTGTTTTCTTCACGGCATTATCCTTATAAACCTGGACTAACCTGTCCATGATTTCACTTCCACTCTTGCCAAGTTTAACAAGAAATTTAATTTTTGTTCGTTGCTTTAATTCAAGCTCCAACATTCTCACAACAGCATGCAAAGACATGTGACAACGATAATGAGCGCCGCTCAGCAAGACACCACCACACGTTGACACGGACACAGCTGTGAGACAGCGCTATGCCAAGGTTGTGAAAACTAACAGAGTTTTTGATACCGTGCTGCCAACATAAGTGCATGGTGAACTTAATTGTCAGACCTCGTACATGCATTGTGAACTTAATTGTCAGACCTCGTACATGCATTGAAACATCACACTGTACCCCATAAAGATATACAATTATCATGTGCCCATCATACATTAAAATTTAACTAATTTTTTAAAAAGCCACATAGCATATGATTCCATTTATAGGAAATGTCCAGAATAGACCAAGAGTCAATGAGTCGTTGCCAGGGGCTAGGGGAAGGAGCGGGTGGGCAGTGTCTGCTAATGGATACTGAGTTTCTTTTTGAGGTGATAAAAATGTTCTAAAATTGGATAGGGGTGACAACTGCCCAGCTCTGTAAATATACTAAAAATCACTAAATGGTATACTTTACAAGGGTGAGTTTTATTGTATGTGAATTGTATCTCAATAAAGATGTTATAAAAAAATCCATTGATTGATTTCCTTATGCTGTTGACTAAACAAATCAAAATTTCAATCCAGTGCTGAGACTTACCTTGCGTGCTACTTGTTGAAAGCGTTTTTGTGCCCTGAACCTGTTGGCCCAAGTATTATTCGTGAGTGGATCAAAATTAGGATGAAATTCCTTGATTTTCTGTGAACATAAAATATAGGAACATCTGACATTTAAATTTTTAAGTCCAAGCATAAGCGTTTAATAAAAATGTTTTAGGGTTTGATCCCAAATCAAGTTACTATTTATTGTTCTGCTGTGTAGTAAGCATTTATTAAGCACTTTGTACACAGCATTATAAGGAATACTTCTTGAGTTGGATGTCTGCCAAGGGTGGAAGACAAGATTTGGGTTTTAAGAAACTTATAGTCTAGTTAGGTAAACTCAAGTAAACACATGTGACCCCAGGGAAAAAATAAAGTCACAAAGAAACCAGTTCCATGTGGTGGGTGCTGGCACTGCACCCACAATTGGGAGCAGTCGGCTGTGAGTGTCCCCACGGAGAGGAAGGACTGCTTTGTTCAGACTTGCACGTCCTGTGCACCAGCGTGTGTGGGTCAGTCAACGGATGAGAAGAAAGGGGACTGGGGATGGAGTGAAACTGGCCAGAGCCTCGAGGGCTGTAAGTTCTTGAGTGGGGATACGAGAAAAAGGCATCAGAAACAAATCAGTCTGTCGTTGGCAAATGCCATGAGCTGTAGAGGAGGAAGAGGAGAGGCAGGTACATGAACACGGCTGCTGGATTAGTCACCGGCGAGAGATGAAGGTTGGACTCCCGTATGGCCTTGTGGAAGATCGGGGTGGGTAGTGCGGGGAGAGAAAGAGGTAAACATGACTCCGATATGGCAAACCCAGCAAAGAAGAGAGAGAGTGATGGAGGTGGGAGATGAGGAAGAATTTTTTCATTGTTAAAATTAAAATTTGAAGTTTTAACCACAAAACTTTATATGAGAGAGGGTATTCGGGTGGATGGGGCCACCGTCCCCATTTTACGTTTGAGGACACTAAGGCACCGTAGCTAAGAGGCTTGTCCCAGGTCCCATATCCGTCACAGAGCTGGAACCAGAACTCAGGTTTCTGGCTTCTCGTTTTGTATCCTCAAGGGAAGGAGGACAGTGAACAGAGGTCTGGGGACCCACCTTGAGGACCTGCAGACAGGGGCTTGGAGGGCGAAGGGAGCACAAAAGGAGACCAAGAAAGAGAAAGCAGAAGGGTGGAAAAGATTAGCCAAGTATGTAATGCTGTTAATTTCAAGAGAAATCTTAATTACAAGTTTTGGTGCTTTCCTTGTAAAAACATGGCAAAAACACTCTGAAAATGTAAGCATATTACAAGTTATTAAATATGTCTTGGTAAGAAGATTTCCATAAAAATTTTTAGGCTGGGCCCGATTACAAGCCTGTAATCCCAGCACTTTGGGAGGCCAAGGTGAGGGGATGGCCTGAGCCCGCGGGTTCGAGAACCGCCTGGGCGACTTGGCGAGACTTCATCTCTACAATAAATCAAAAAACTAGCTGGGCATGGTAGTGCGCGCCTGTAGTTCTGGCTACTTGGAAGGCTGAGGTGGAAGGATCACCTGAGCCCATCAGGTTGACGCTGGGGTGGCCACGAGCGTGCTCCTGCATTCCAGCCTGGGCGACGGAGTGAGACTTTAGCTAAAAAAACAAAAAAGACCCTAGCAGTTAAAAAGATAAGTATTTAACTAATAGAAAGGGATTGGCAGTAGCGGGATACCGCTGGGGTTGGGGGTGGAGGGTGCGGAGAGGGCGGGGACATAACATCAATAAGGGCACCTGATCTCAAACCAGGCAAAGTGGGGACCAAAGGGAGGCCCAAACTTTACCTGTACAATGTTCACTTGTATACCTAACCCTGAATTGTACTCCACATCTTTAAAATAAAAAAAACATAAAAGATAAGTATTTAAAGAGCTGCTAATAATGAGATTCCAAATAGAGTCACTCACGTCTTTTAGATTGTGAACGATCCGTTTATGGCTGACTTCTGTCTTGAGTCGCTGATATTCCTCACTCGAATTAGGATCTCCTCTCTCAAGCTGGGTTTTTAATCATCAAAATAAATACAGCTGAACACAAATGCATAACACTTTATTTCTCTTTAAAACTGGTAAAAACCCATGAAGCATATGGCTAAATCCACTCCTGGAAGTGCCATTGAGAGTGGTTGAAGAAGTGAGTTAAACTGACCATTGTAATTACACTTAGCTGTTTAAACATAGGGAGCTTTGAGAGAAGCACGGACTTAATACCTTTTCACTAAAAAAAATACTGTCTCTGGAAATTATTTCCAAGACACTCAAAATTCGCAGAAAGGATCTTAGGAAACCCTTTAACCATGGGAATATATAAATTTCATTAAAAAGAAATGTAATGTCCCATTTAAGCTCCTCAGAGTTACTGATCTAAGCGTCAGGTTTTTAAGGGTGGCATGTGGTGACTCCTCCCTGTTCCTGGGTGGTGGAGGTTGACAGGTCTTTCTGGCCCGGAAAGCGACCTGCTCCTGCCCTGATATGTGTGCCCCCAGGCTGTTCTCCTTCCTCCACTTGTCTGCTTCCCCTGTGGTGCCTGGGGCCTCCTATTCCCAGGAGCCACCAGCGACTCCCAGAGCAGGCTGCTAGGGCTAGGATCAGTGTCTCACACACTTGTCCCCGTGGAAGAGGGGACCACACATTCTGCAGGCGGTGTTAGTTTTTGCCTGTCTGCGGGTTCTATTTGTTTGCTGGGTACCTTTGAAAACTAACTTGGCTCTTAAGAACGTTGTTCATAATCATTTTTAAAGACTTAATTGGAAGCAAACTATTCTAATCATCATATGAACAGCCTATTCAGAAATAAGAGAAGTGTGCTTTGTCACCAGGTGGTGATGGTCTAGCTCTAATTTGCACATATCGGGAAGTTGAGTTTGAGACCACGCACCTTAATTTCAAAGTATAGAATCTGTGGGGAAAGACTCAGACTCCCACCACCATTAAGAGGAAAATAAAATGGGCAATTTAAACACAGGAGACAGATCGTTGGCCAGAATAAAGAGAAGGGAGGTTTCTTACGTCTTCATCGAGGCTCTACTTATTTATGAGGAACATTTCAGAATTTGATATTATTTCTCATCTCCCCTGAGCAAGAGCTCGTCATCCTGAGGGCTTGTACCATCCAGCTCTGATGCCGACCCCTCCTGTTCCCACCATTTCTCTTCTGAGCTTTGTGGCTTATGCCTTCGGTCTCCAGGTGCTCCTTGCTACTGGGTCACCTGCCAGGACTCAGCTCTCAGATGAAATCCCCTGGACACGTTGAACGGGATCCCTGTGACACTTGGTCTCCAGTACTCCAGAGCCTCAGGATTGCCTGCTTTATCTTTCTCCTGGTCCCAGAGAGCGATGCTAAGGGCAGACCTGTCCGTAACCGCGGCAACCACAGCCTTAATGCTCACAGTGACCTGATCAGGATATGTCTGCATCTACTTCATTTTTTTTTTTTTTTTGAGTTGGAGTCTCACGCTGTCACCCAGACTGGAGTGCAGTGGCCGCTCCCGGCCACCGCAGCCTCGACCTGCTGGGCTCCGGCGATCTTTCCGCCTCAGTCTTTCAAGTGGCTGGAATTACTGGCGCGCGCTATCACACCCGGCTAATTTTTTTTGATTTATTGTAGAGATGAGGCCTTGCCAAGTTGCCCAGGCGGGTCTTGAACCCGTGGGCTCAGGCAATCACTCACCTTGGCCTCCCAAAGTGTGGGATTACAGGCTGAGCCACTGAGCCTGGCTTACTTTATTTTTTAAAAGTTATAAAATAGCATTTTATTGTGAGGTTGATAGAAAATACTTGATATTTTGTTTTTAAAATACGGGAAAAGAATCTGAACACTGAATTAAATTCAAGTGGCAATCTAATATGTGCCTTTTCTAAATGCAAAGATTTACCAGTGAAATGACTTTATATTCTTTAGGTTATCTTATGAAAAATAAAGGAAAATAATACAAATTTATTTAAATATATGGTTTGGACTCCAAATCTAGAAAAAAAAATTTTTTTGAGTTGGGTTCTTACTCTGCTACCCAGGCTGGAGTACAGAGGCATGATCCTGGCTCTCTGCAGCCTCCACCGCTGAGGCTCAGGCAGTTCTTCCGCCTCAGCCTCCCGAGTAGCTGGGACCACAGGCACATGCCACTCATACCTGGTTCACTGTTAAAATTTTTTGTAGAGATAGAGACTCGCTATGTTGCCTGGACTGGTCTCAAACTCCAGGGCTCAAGCAGTTCTCCTGCTCAGCCTCCCAGAGTACTGGGATTACGGGTGTGAGCCACTGCACCCAGCTAGAAAAATGTATTCTACATGAGAATCATATTCATATCTGACAAGATACATGTTTTTCCTCAATCCCTTCCACTCACTACTGCCGCGTTAGTTTACCTAAAGTTCACACTCCCAAGCTTAAATATCTGTGTTACTGGCTGAATTGTGTTCTCTCAAAATTCAGGTTGAAGCTCTAACTCCCAATAGATCAGTATATGACTATACTAGTCATATACTTGTATTTGGAAATGGGGTCTTTAAAGAGGTAATAAGGTCATCAGAGTAGGCCTTAATCAAGCAGGACTGGTGTTCTTATCAGAAGAGGCGATTAGGCACAAAGAAGACCATGCCTGTAAGCCAAGGAGAGAGGCCAAGCACAGATCCTTCCCTCAGGGCTCTCAGAAGGAACCAACCCTGCGAGAACTTGATTTTGGACTTCCAGCTTCCCAAACTATCAGCCTCCAAAACTCTCAGAGAGTACATTTCTGTTGTTTTTAAGCCATCCAGTCTGTGGTACTTTGTTACGGAAGTCCAAGCAAAGAAATACAATGTGTGATGGTTCTAAAGTCCTACTCCTCAGACACAGAGCCCTAACCAAGTCCTGTCTTCTCTGGCCCGTGTGTGTCCTGTGCTTCAGCTACTATGGACTTGTCCTCTGTGTTCTCGTCACCCTGCCCTGCAGGTAACAATCACCTCCTAAGCCATAGTGAGGTTGTGGGTGTTGCATGGTTCCACAGTTTCCGTCTCCAAACCCTTGGTGCCCCAGCTACGGCCCCACTCTCTTTAGCCCAGTTTCCCACTTTCTGCTCAGCCGCTTTAAGGGTCTTTGACTTGAGACTGCCATTTGCATCTGTCTCTGGTGTGGCTCCTGGTGACCATCTTTTGTCTCTTTTGTCTTCGTGCTCTGTAGATCATGAGACAGGGGTGCCCTGTCACCAGAATTCCAACCCAAATTTGAGGCATTCCCTCCATCTGAAGGCCTTGTCCTCTTTACTGCTTTTCAGAATTATACCATGTCTAATAGATAAGTTCCAAGTTCTCTGGCTTCTGAGTCCCCATAATACTTAGTATAGGTCTTTTGTGACGGTTATAGCCGGCCTTGGTTTATGGCTAACAACTTACCTGTCATCAGCCTCGCCTACTTCCAATTTAATTATAAGTTTTCTTTCACCTGGCATCTTGCATGTAGTAGAAATCCAAAATATTTAGGGAAACAAATGATAGAAAACAGGCAGTTACTCTGACCTTATACTTGGTGGATGCTCTTTGCCGCTCCTCCCTAAGTTCTTTCTTAAATTTAAAAGACACGTGATCTTTACCAAGGTGCACCTGCCTGGGGAGAAAAAGATCAACTTCTAGAACCCATCAGAATACCACAGTCAACCTTTGGATGGAATGTCTTCACTGAATGCCGCAGCTGAAAAGAAATGCTGAGGTGCTAGAGGGAACTGCAGGGAGAGAAGATGAATGGTGTGTTCTGCAAAGCGAAGCTTATCTTCTAGAAACACGTTCTGAATATAAACGGAAACATCTGGATGCTCAACATCATTAATAATTAGGGAAATGCAAATCAAAACCACAGTCATATGCCCTTTATATCCACTGAGAAGGTCATGATGATGATGAGATAACCATAATAATCATGGAAAAGAGTGTGTATTGCTGAGGAAGTGGAAACAGTGTGACCCTCATATGCTGCTGGCGAGAATGTAAATGGTGCAGCCACCATGGTAAGCAGGTTGGGGGTTCCTCAAAAATGTAAACACAGAGTTACCACATGACCCAGCTATTCCATTCCTGGGTATGTGCCCAAGAGAATTGAAAAGGTATGTTCACACAAAACCTTGTACAGTAAGTCCCCTCCATACGAATGAGTTCCATTCCAAGAGCACATCCATAAGTCCAGTGAGTTTGTAAGTCCAACAAAGTTAGCCTAGGTACCCAACTAACTCAGTTGACTATATAGTACTGTACTGCAATGGGTTTATAATATTTTTCACACAAATAATGCATAACAAACACACAAAAAATAAGGAAAACATTTAAGATCTTACAGTACGGTCCCTTGCACGCACATGACAATGGACACCAGACACGTGAGTGAATATATGTGATCGGACATGCAAACACACACTCGCATCTTTGAGAGTTCACGAACTAAAGGATGTAGGGAACTTACTGTATATAAATGATTATAGCAGCATTATTCATAATAGCCAAAGAGTGGAAAGCACCGAAATGTCCATTAACTGATGAAGGAATAAGCAAATGTGGCATATCCACACAATAGAATATTGTAGAAAATCCATACAATATCCACACAATAGAACATTCAGTCATAAAAAGGAAGAAGGGAGACACGCCATAATGTGGATAAACCTTAAAAGCATGTTAAGTGGAAGAAGCCAGTCACAAATGACCACGTATTATATGATTCCATTTATATGAAACATCCGTAATGGGTACATCCACAGGGACAGAAAGTATATCAGTGGTTACCAGGGGCTCCAGGGAGTGGGAAAGGGAGAGTGACTATTCGTGAGTGTGGGGTTTCTTTTTGGAGTGATGGCAATGTTCTGAAATTAGGTAGTGATGATGGTTGTACAATATTGTGAATATACTAAAACTTCTGCATTATATACTTTAAAATGGTTAAAATGATGAATTTTATCACAATTTAAAGAAATCTGGCATGTAATGTATCCATCATGAACATGACACAGGTTCAAAATAAATAGTACCTATTATATATATATTTTTTGAATTGGAGTCTCACTCTGTCGTCCAGACTGGAGTACAGTGGCATGCTCACGGCCACTGCAGCCTCGACCTGCTGGGCTCTGGAAATTCTTCCGCCTCAGCCTTCCAAGTAGCCGGAACTACAGGCATGGTCTAATTTTTAAAAATTTTTTATTGTAGAGACGAGGTCTCGCCAAGTTGCCCGGGCAGGTCTCGAACCTGCGGGCTCAGGCAATCCACTTGCCTCAGCCTCCCAAAGTGCTGGGATTACAGGCTGAGCCACCGAGCCCGGCCAAGTACCTATAATTTTTAAAGTGGGGACAAATAAAGAAGGACAAACCTTGGGACTTGGTAGCAACTTGGATGGATTTAGAGTCGATCGTACTCAGTGGTCTATCACAGAAACCAAGAACAGAGTACCATATGTTCTCACTCATAAGCGAACCTTGAACAATTATCACAATACTATGAGAAAGGGATTGGCAGTAGTGGAAAACTGCCAGGTGAGAGGGGGTGGGATTGGCAGTTAAGGGAAATTGCCAGGCGAGGGAGGGGCACACCTTATCAACAAGGGTACCTGCATAATCAACATTTGTATACCTAACCCTGAATTGTACCCCACATCTTTAAAATAACAAAATAAAATAAAATATAATTTTAAAAAAGTGGGGGCAAGAGCATGTCTGAAGAACATTTTAAATTAAGGGAGGCTAAAGAGACCTGAAAACCAAATACAAATTGTACGCTATTTGATTGGACCCTGGATTCCCCTCTCCAAAACAAAACAAAACCCAGAGCCCCAAAAAACTCCAGGTATAAAGGACATTTGGGGAAAACTGGCAAAATTTGCTTATGGATTGTATCAGTGTTAAATTTCTTGGATGTGATTATGGCAGTGTTGGAGAATGTTCTTGTTCTTAGAAGCGACATGCTGGAGTATTTTCATCAGGAATGAATGTCCTGATATCAGCAAATTACTTTCAAGTGACTCAGGAAAAAAATGCGTAAGTACGCGTATGCATGTGCATGTGGAGTGAAGGGAAGTGTGTGTGACATAATGTAAACAATCAATAAACCTAGCTCAAGTGTTATGAGTCTTACAGGTTTATGATTTTTCTAGATGAAAACTTGGGAAAAATATTAAGTGAACAACACAGCCTTCAGGATGGAGTTTAGGATGTAAGTTCAAGTCTGTTACAAAAAAGTATAGAAAGAAGAAAAGATGCCGGGTACGGTGGCTCACACCTATAATCCCAGTACTTTCGGATGCCAAGTGGGAGGACTGCCTGAGCCCAGGGGTTAGGTAACAGCCTAGGCAACATAGTGAGACCTTGTCTCTCTAAAAAAAAAAATCAAAAAAATTAGCTAGCTAGGGTGGTTTGCACCTGTAATTCCAGCTACTCAGAGGGCTGAGGCAGAAGGATCACCTGAGCTCAGGAAGTTGAGTCTGTGGCGAGTTGTTGGGAGACAGAGTGAGACTCTGACTTGAAAGAAAAGAAAGCAAGAGAGAGAGAGAGACAGAGAGAGAGAGACAGAGAAAGAGAGAGAAAGAAAGAAAGAAAAAAAGAATACTGGTGTTCACAGTGGTTATTGCTGAGTGGTAGTATCACGTGATTTTTTTTCCTTTTCTATGTATTTTTTAAAATATTTTTTCAGATTTCCTACAATGACAATGTATTCATTTTTCATAATAGGGAAGAGGTATTTTTAAAAATAAAAGCTTTAGTCCTTTGTTCCTATTAATATACACTTAAGCTGAAGCAGAAGGGATTTCTGTCAGAAACAAAGGCCATTCCCCCATGGAGACAAGGGTAGCAGGGTGGTGGACACCACCTCTGGAGGCCTCAAATGAGGACATATTCTCATGTTTGGGAAGTATGGAAGCTGGGGTAGCCTCTCAATGACACTCTCCAGGAGTCTGCCTCTCTCACCCTCTTTTTGTTTTTAAGCTCAATTCAAGCATTTCTAAAGTTTGCTTTAGATGAATCTGTACACACGGGTAGGTCTGGTATAATCTGATTTTTTTAAATGTGCAAAAGGTTCCATTTTGGTCACAGAAGCACAGGAATTCTCACAACTGTGTTTGCAAACCTCCACCAGGAGAAATCTCTCTATCAACTGTGGATTGAATAAAGAAAAAGTGGCACAGTTACACCATGGAATACTACAAAGCAGTAAAAAAGAACGAAATCATGTCCTCTGCAGCAATGTGGATGAAGCCATGATTCTAAGCAACTTAACACAGAGATAGAAAACTGAGTACTGTATGTTCTCACTTACAAGGGAGCGCTAACCACAGGGCGCATGTGAGGATAAAGATGAGAGCAACAGACACAGGGGACTTCTGGGGTGGGGGGTGAAGGGGACAACGGTTGAAAAACTTCCCCATCAGCTTTGAGTTCTATGTTTTATTCCTTCGCCATTTCAGAGCCTTGGCTTGTCTGGGCAAAAGGGCTCATCTGCTCTCTGTTCCAGGTCCTTCTGCCAGGACTTCCTTGCTCCTTGGAGGATGCCCTCAACCTCTTCTCAGGCTACTCCCACTCCCCCAGCATTGGATCATGATGGTACGTCCAACACCAGACACACAACTCTTGTTCAAGCTGAACTATCTCAACCAGGGGTTGGCAAACTGTCCCTGCAGACCAAATCTGTGATAGCCACTATTTTTGCATGGACTACAAGGTAAGCATATTTTTCACATGTTTACACAGTTGAGAAAAATTTAAAAAGGATAGTATTTCTTGGTGTGTGGAAATGATATGAAATTCATATTTCGGTGGTGACAAGCAAAGTTTTATAGGCATCCAGCCACACCCATTCGTTTACATATTGTCAAAGTTGTCAGAATCAAGATGGAATCACTTGCATTAAAAAAATACAATAATAGAAATAAATAAATAAAGATAAATATAATAATAACAACCATTTAAAACAAGTAACAAATAGAGCCAACTGGGCCATGAAGAGAGGGTTCTCATGCATCTATCACAAAAGACTCTCAGAAGATTCTGCAGACACTATAGCCCTGCACAAAAGTCATTGCGACCTCACACAAAGATACACTTTTGCAGAGGCAATTATCCAGCTGCTGTCTGTCCAACCTCAGGTCAGTAAAATTCTCATCATTGATTTTCATTGCCAAAGGTAATTATCTCAAAATACTTATGCATTTTTTTCCTTTAAGAACCATTGTCTTTCTTTACCTCCTTGAATATACACATAGTTTACTGTGGCACTTTTTTTTTTTTAAGAAAAATTTCCTGTTGAGTACCATGTTCATGATTTGGGTGACTGGCTCAGTAGAAGTCCAAACCTCATCACCACCCAACACACTCATGTAACAAACCTGCACATGCACTCCCTGAATCAAAATAAAATAAATAAAAATAAAACTTCCACCGGGAGCCCTTTCACATCCCTTCTCCCTTGGAGTTCCCCAGGAGGCCTCTGGGACACTCAACCCAGGGCACACACTCAGGGTGGAGTGAGAAGGAAAGGGGTGAGATTTGGGGTACAGCAGTGGCCAGCAGGGAGCAGGGGACGGGTGTCCCTCACAATTCACTCTGGGTCTGCCACTGTCTGGTCTGGAAAAAGCATGATTTGTTCACATTAATTTACTTTTATTTTTATTTTTTTAAGTCAGAGTCTCACTCTGTCACCCAGGCTGGAGTGCAGTGGCACAATCACGGTTACTGCAGCCTCGACCTAATGGGTTCAGGTGATCCTTCCGCTTCAGTCTTCCAAGTAACTATAACCACAGGCATGAGGCACCATGCCTGGCTAATTTTTGATTTATTGTAGGGACAAGGTTTCACCATGTTGCCCAGGCTGGTTTTGAACCCGAGGCTCAGGCAATCTTCTCACGTCTGCCTCCCAAAGTGTAGGGATGATGGGTGTGAGCCACCGCACCCAGCTGGTCACATTAATCTATTCTTAACAGAGACTTATTTCTGAAATGGAAGGACTAGTGGCAGAGAAACAATAATCAAGTTCTCCAAAGGGAATACAAAATTATTACATTTCACTGGGTCTCGTGCATAAAAAACCACCACCTAAAAGCAACGGCATTGTCACTTGATACAAATAATTGCTCAATATTTACCACTTAAGATGATTTTCCATCTCTTCGCAAGTGTTCTGCCTGATTTTCTGCTCGAAAAGCGCCTCCTTCATTTGTCTTGTTTTTGAAATTTCAGTGCCTTGGTCCAAAACTGAAGGCAGAAGCAAACAATGTTTATACCAATAATCAAATTAGAATCATTTGCAGAGAGAAAACACATTTCTAATGGCAAAGTATAATAGCAGTCTAACTGAGTTTTGTTGTTCGTAGGTAATAAATGTGACAAGCACTAATTCTTTCATATTCTGCCCAGGGGCTGAGGTATGGTGGATCCACTGGTTACCTTCTCTTAATTCTTTAATCTTCATTTTCCCTGGTTCTTGGTTTAAAACAGTTGCCACAGCAAATGGATTTGATAAATCTACTGGAAATCGCAGGTTCTGGTACTCAATTTCCTGAGAGACCAAATCAGCAGGGAAATTGGTTATTTTGCTGCCCTGTTGTTCTTTCCATCACATTGAGGATAACGCCCACTTTACCTTAGGCTTTTGAGGCTTTGTCTTTGCTGGTAGTCGGTGAGAATGTATACGTGTCATTGCTTTTTCTGGAGGAACGTTTACTTTCTTAGAAATAGTATTCAATCTCTCAAACTCTTCTAATCTGTAGTTTAAAACAAATTTTAAATTAGAATAGAGGCCATTAACTCAAGGTTCCTATGTTTATATTCCTTCTGATAATACCAAGACTTGCAGTCCACCATTGCATCTAAAATGAAAATAAATCTGTGTGTCAAGACAGCGATCTACTGAAATAAATGCAGCATCAGTATATTACAGTATAACTATATATAGCAAAATCGTCCAGCCATAGTTGTTACTTTACATTCTTAAAGAACATAATGAAAGAAAACACAATATGCTGAACAATGTTCTCATGGTCTAGCAAAATTCATTTCTAGGCTGTTGATTTTCTTTTTTGTTTATTTGTTCTTGCTTTTTGTTTTACTTGTTTTTGAGTCAGGGTCTTACTATGTCACCCAGGCTGGGGTGTAGTGGTATGGTCACAGATCATTGCAGCCTCAACCTCTTGGGCTCACGTGATCCTTCCCCCTCAGCCTCCTGAGAAGCTGAGACTTCAGGCATACGCCACCATATCCAGCTAATTTTTTCAAAGCAAATTTTATAGCGACAAGGTCTCACTATGTTGCCCAGGCTGGTCTTGAACTCATGGACTCAAGCAATCCTCCCGCCTCAGCCTCCCAAAGTACTGGGATTACAGGCATGAGCCACTGTACCTGGCCTTGGCTGCTGGTTTTCAATAGCTAAAGTTATTACATTTGAAAACTTTTGCCTTGATTTATCTTCTAAATAAATAATAATTATGCCCATCATAGCAAGATATATTTTTAAAAATTCAGATTAATGTTTGGGAACTTTTATGTAACGGAAAGCTGCCTTTGGACACACATAGGTAGAGACAGCCAATAGCCCACAGAAGCTATACAGGGTGTTATGTGATGTGGTAGAACTGTGTTACATTCAGAAGTGCTGCTATGAGACTCTTTTTTTGTGTTTTTGAGTTGGGGTCTCACTCTGTTGCCTAGGCTGGAATGCAGTGGCACGATCATGGCTTACCGCAGCCTCACCCTCCTGGGCTCAGGTGATCCTCCTACCTCAGCCTCCCGAGTAGCTGGGACTACAGGCATGCACCACCATGCCTGGCTAATCTTTTGATTTTCTGTCAAGATGAGGTCTCTCTATGTTGCCTAGGCTGGTCTCGATATCCTGGATCAAGCCATTTCCCACCTCAGCCTCCCAGAGTGCTGGGCTCATAGGCGTGAGCCACCACACCTGGACTTTATTTTTTTTTAATTATTTTTATTTTAATAGCTACATTTTTCTGCAACACAAGCCAAAGTTATCATTTTGAAAATAATCACTTTAAAATGTATCGCTCAGTGCTAATTTGGTATAATAGCCTACGTAAAATTGATGTTATATACGAAACACTTCTTTGAGCAAGAATGTGTGGACACGTGCTTTACAGGATAAACACCTGCTTGCCATGGCATTACAGGAGATCAAAACACTCTGGCTTCGTACATTCTGACAGTCGATATGCATTTGCGGAGTCCCTACTGAACAGGCCTGTTTGCATCATATGGAACCTATGCTAGCAATTTCAGATTTAACATCCATCTATGTAAGAGCGTCCCTAAGGGTCCATGGCATGGGAGAACCTGTCCCTTGGTGAGAGTCACATGGACTGACACGCTCTGAGGTGCAGGTATGACTTGCTCAGCTACGAGTGAGCTGTGGCTCGGCGTTCGCCTATCAAGGGAGCTTTGACATCTCCTCGGCTGGGAACACTGGGAACAACAAAACTTTTAGGGAGATGTTGAAAATGTCTTGCAAAGAACTCTCACTGCCAGTGTTGATGGCAATGAAGGGATTCAAGAAAATGATCAACTGGGGCAACCCCCATGGGTCCCCTCCGACTGTGTGGGAATTCTTCTGTCCTCTCAATAAATCCTACTTTCTCCTTCTTTCCCTCCTTCTTTCTTTCCTTCCTTCCTCTCTTTCTTTCTTTTAATTTCTTTCTCCCTTCCTTCCTTCCTTCCTTCCTTCCTTCCTTCCTTCCTTCCTTCCTTCCTTCCTTCCTTCCTTCCTTCCTTTCCTCCTTCTTTCTTTTTTGAGTTGGAGTCTCACTCTTTTGCCTAGGCTAGGGCTCCGGCGATCCTTCTGCCTCAGCCTTCCAAGTAGCTGGAACTATAGGCATGCGCTGCTATGCCAAGCTAATTATTTTATTTATTGTCTCGCCAAGTTGCCCAGACTGGTCTCAAACCCGTAAGGCTCAGGCAATCCTCTTGCCTCACCTCCCAAAGTGCTGGGATTATAGCCGTGAGCCACTGCACCCGGCTAAATCCTGCTTTCTCAAAGAAAAAAAAGAAAAAGAAAAAAGAAAAGAAAAGAAAAGGATCAACTAAAGCATTACATGTAGAGCTTGGCTGTGTAAAAATTAAGACAAGAGCAGGGCTATCACACACCTTACACGGAAACAAATAAAACAATCTATGAAAATGTCAGTGACTACCACAGGCAGTATAATTTTTTTCCTTTCATTGTAGAATTTATATGTTATAGTACTATTTGCAATTTGGCGAGACATGTAGGTCTTGACATGGTCCTTGAAAATGTCAGGAGTGCACTAAATATTATCATAATAGTTTAAAAATAGCATATGCTTGCATCTGTATGGTGCGTCTACCATGCACTGCTCGCATGTATTTAAGAACACAGCTTAGCTGGGCTCGGTGGCTCAGCCTGTAAGGTGAGTGGATTGCCTGAGCCTGTAGGTTCGAGACCCGCCTGGGCAACTTGGCGAGACCTCGTCTCTACAACAAATCAAAAATTAGCCGGGCGTGGTAGTGCACGCCTGTAGCTCTGGCTACTGGGAAGGCTGAGGCAGAAGGATCGCCGGAGCCCAGCGGGTCGAGGCTGCGGTGGCTAGGAGTGGCCACTGCACTCCAGTCTAGGTGACAAAGGGAGACTCCAACTCAAAAAATAAAAAATAAAAAAAGAACACAGCTATGGAAGGATTTACCATACAAGTTAAACATCTCGCTCAGGGGAGTCTTTAAGAAAGTCACTTGAATATTGCAGCATTTGACATGAGCAAGTAGCAAGTAGCATTTTGTTCACCCAGTTAAATTAGACACAAGAAAAATTAGCAATTTTATTTGCTTTTAATTCTACTTCTTCATTGCCCAAGTGATTTTATTTCTACTATGGTTATTTGCAGGATTTAGGCTCAGCAGGGCACACTCGTATCCCACAGCTGATGTAGGTTGCTTTGAATTTTGGGGGAGAAGAACATGATATAAATATATAAGAAATCATGGAGATAGTTCATATTTAGTTATAACGTTGCTCTGCCACCTTTAATATGCTTAATGATGCTAACATGTGATGTGTATACATGTGTGAAGGAAAGAGGGGAAAAACCAATATATTTGTCATTTTCAAAATAATCGGTCGGATCTTCTAATATTAGTATGTATACTGTGATGACTTTTCCTTTTTTTTTTTTTTGAGTTGGAGTCTCACTCCATCGCCCAGGCTGGAGCTCTGGCGATCCTTCCACCTCAACCTTCCAAGTAGCCAGAACTACAGGTGTGCCCTACCATGCCAGGCTAATTTTTGATTTATTGTTGAGACAAGGTCTCACCAAGTTGCCCAGGTGGGTCTAGAACCCACGGGCTCAGGCAATCCACTCTCCTTGGCATCCCAAAGTGCTGGGATTACAGGCTGAGCCACCGAGCCCGGCTCTGATGGTGTTTTTAAAAAACCTCCTGTGTGACGCAGTTCCGTCTCTGCCTCATGTGAAGTCACTTGTTGTACATGTCTTATTTTGGTATCTTGAAGGTGTGGCCATTTCTCATAGGGCTTTGCAACGGACACTGCACACAGCAGGCACTCAATTAATTGATACACTATATTGAAACTTTAAAAATAGTTATATTGTTGTGGCCCTGTGGTTTAAATTTTTGAATAAGAAGGAATGCATGATCAAAAACTCAAACAGTGCATCAGTAGTAATCAGTGAAAGAAAGTAGCCCTCAAAAATTCCTTTTTTCTTAGTCATTTCTTCCCCTTTTGGCAGAAGCAGCTATTGCTGCTAGCATAGAGAGAGTCTATGTATGATGGTTGTATTTTAAAGCATATTTTATGTGGGCCCCATTTAAAATAAGCTTTTCATGGCATTCTGTTACAAGAGAGACAGAATGGAAGGAAGGAAGAGTTGGATTTTTGAAAAAGCGTTAAGAATAAACAAAAATATTGTGAAGAAGCCATACGGTAAGGCCATGTTGGGACGGCACGTTCCGGTGAAGACACATTCGTATGGTTGAGAGTTGAACTGTGAAATCCACAATTGCATTTTCATCTGGGCAGTCCCATACTGAAGGGGTGTGAACTTAATGGCCACATTCATCTTCCCATTAGCTGGAATTATTCCTGAGAGGAAAGAAATGAGAAAATGTGAGACTCCTCCTGCCAAGCCCGGTCAGAGAGGGGGACATGCACACAGATACTGCTGACCCTTGAACACTGTGGGAGTTGGGGTGCCGGTCCCCCCGGTTGAAAATCCACACGCAACTTCTGACTCACTACTAATTGCCCGTTTTTGGCCAGAAGCCTTACTGATAACCTAAGCAGTCAGTTAAGATGTATTCTGTATGTTATATGTATTACATACTGTACTGTATTCTTACCATAAAGTAAGCGAGAGAAAAGAAAATGTCATTCACAAAATCATAACGAAGGGAAAATAGATGGACTATTCGCTAAGTGAAAGCCGAGTATCATAAAGGCCTTCATCCTGATTGTCTTCACACTGAAGAGACAGAAGAGGAGGAGGGAGACGAGGGGTTGATCTTGCTGTCTCAGGGGTGGCAGAGGCCGAAGAGACGGAGGAGGTAGAAGGGAGGGCAGGAGAGGGGCGGTTACTTGGTGCGATTTTTATGAAAATTTAGCATACAAGTGGGCCTGCACAGTTCAAACCCATGTTGTCTGAGGGTACATGCTTTTCAAGCTAGGCACAGATACGGTCTTTCTGTTACCTTGATATAGTCTTTTCACTGAATACACGTGAATCAACTTCTGCATGTTTACACAGATCGTATTTATCAATGACTACATTAATCCTTCATAATCTTTATTTGATTGTGGTCAGTTACATAAACATATACACATCAATCTGCATTAGTGATTCCAACATGAATCCCCAGAACTATCATCTTAAGCAAGTGACCAGATGTCAGTGGTAATGCTGTAAGCAACAGGAAAAGCTAGGGAACACACATACACGTTTGTGTTCAAAAAATTCGGTTCTCTATATGTCTGTGTAACTTGATTCTCTCCTTTCAAATCTTTAGGTTGGACTACTGTCCTCTCCAAAGTCATATACCATGTTGTGCTTTATTCCTCCTTTGTATCTCCGGTGCCAACAAGGCTCAGAACATGGTAAGTGCTCAACAAATGTGGGAAGAAAAATAGGAGGGAGGAAGGATCAATGTACTAGTTGTGACGAGAGCTGATGTTCTCTCTGACTTCCACGGAGGGGTCTTTGGTTTGCTTTCTGGATGAGACCTTCTGCCTCTGTGCATCTGGTCCTTCTGCTGTCCCCAAGGTGACCTTGCACAGTCCCTCATAAGTACCTGACATACACTCTTTCCCGGCCATCCCCTCCTCTGAACCTTTTCCTACTCCCTTCTTCCTACGCTCAACCACACGGACCTTTCCTTCAGCCATTCAGGTGTTTGTTGAGCACTTACTGTGTGTCAGGCACTGTTTTGGGCACTCAAGCCACTGCAACAGACAAAGCAAAGTCCCAGACCTCATCGAGTTTACATTCTAGTTGGGGACAGGGAAAAAAGAGAGAGAGAGAGAAAAGCAAATGAATATGAAACACAAAACCAAGTCATGAATGGGGAAGCAAGTGAAGTGGACAGAAAGGAAATGCCCTCCTGGGGAGGAGACCTCGAGGGGAGGAGGTAGAGAGATAAGAGCCTTGGCTCTAACCCTCTAACACTGGCCCCTGCTGCCCTGGGCTCTGCTCTTGCTGTTCCTGAGATCCAGAAAGCTCTCTCTCCAGATCTTCTTTTAGCTTCTTCATCCTACTCCCTGAAATGATCTCATTTATCATCTGCCTTTCCCTAGATTAGAGTGTAAATTTTAGGAAAGCAGGAGTCTGCTCATTGCTATGCTCCCAGCTCAATTAATTCTTACTGAATGAGGGAACAGATCCAAACTTGAGAGCCTATACCGGCCCATGTGCTACACAAAACTCCTCCTGCCTCTCCCTCCACAGGAGCCTTCACTGCCCTAAACTTCTGTCAGTCCTACTGCGCTCATGGACCAGCTGAGCTGCAACCTGTTTTCCAGTCTCCCAGCCAGATCGCAAGCGCCAGCCCCGTGCCACTGTTATCTTCCCGGATCTCTAGCACGGTGCTTCAGAAATAGATCTTTGTCAATTTCCTGAGAGCAGAAGTCAAAATCTTTAAATAACACCCACGAGTGACCCTCAAGTCCTCACTCAGGGGGTGGAGAATGAATCAGCATAAGCTTGGGTGGGTCAGCGAACCTAAGATCAACTGAATAGAAACCCTGATTCTCCACGACATGATGAGAGGGACTTCAATACCTTGACCACCCACTTGGTCAGAAAATACACTCATTTGACCCATAACTCATTGAGGGCTTAAAAATAAGAACATTCTATTGCTTCTGCTCCAGCTCATTAACTTGTAAAAATAAGAACAAGCTCTGGAGCAAGGATTAATGTTTGCCTTGACCTGGCTGATTTATTTTTAAGTGCTCCTGGCTCAGACCTAATACATAAAGCACACTGTGGAGGTGTCGTCTAGGCAACCAGAGGACATTGCTTTTTCCATTAACAGGGACACCAGTTAACACAGGTCTGTTAACAGAGCAGGGAGCAATGGATTGTCAAATGTTAGCAACTACAAAATGCTTGCCAAGGAGTCACAGCTAGTAACTCTGCAAAAACTAACAATGATACAAAAGAGAGTATGTTTCATGTTTTAAAAGTGAGAAGGACGACCCTCCCCACGCCCGTGATGACTTCATTTTTAAAAGCCTAAACTACTATTTTATGGCTTCAGTTCAATTTCATCTGGGGTCAGTTTCAGATAACTACCCTAGACATAACCGGGGATAATGTTAAATCACAGGGCAAGCCGGGCTTGGTGGCTCAGCCTGTAATCCCGCGCCTTTGGGAGGCTGAGGTGAGTGGATTGCCTGAGTCCGTGGTTCGAGACCCACC